ATAAAAATTTTTATATTTAAATAAATTCTAATATCTAATAACTTAATTAAATAAGATAGAATTAAAATTTTATTTTGGAAAAATAATTTATTAATATTTATTTAATATACTAATCTTTTTGTATCAGACAATATTTAAAATCACTCAAAACTTTTTCAGAAAGAAAAATAAATTAATAAATTATTTTATTTTTTAATAAAATTACTTTTTAAAAATATTTTTATTTATAATTATATTTTTTATTTTATTTTTCTTATTAATTATTTTAATAAATATAAGTATAATTTTATTTTCTTATTAAAATATAAATTTAATAATTATATATTTTTTTTAAATAATATTAATCAGAATTTTTTTAACAAAAAATTAATTTTATATTTATAAATATAATTTTATTTTTCAATAACTTATAATCAAATCTCTCTATTTGCATTTGAAAAAGCAAAATTGAATAATTATAAAAAGATATGAATATAAAAAAAATTTTAATTTATACTTAAAAACTGAAAAATCAAAAAGAATAATTATATAAAGAGATATGATTATAAAAAGATCTAACTATATTTCTATCTTTTAAATAGTTTCTCAAGTTATATTTAAAAAATTTTCTGATTATTTTTTATTATATTCTTCATATTCTCTTTTAAATTAACTCAAATTTTTGATGCTTATTTTTTGAAATTAATTATAAATAAACAAAATATTTATAATTATATTAATAATGTTTTTAAATTAGTCAATTCTTCAATAATCTTTTTCAAAAACGAATACTTTATTGCAATCTTGATTAAATATGAATTTTAACAAAAAAAATATTACAACTTTCTTTTTAAAATCAATTATTTACTATATATATTATTCAAAATTTTATTATTAATATTCAAATAATTAATAGTATTATTCAAAATATTTCCGGATTCCTGGTTGTTTCTTTAATTTTGAAAATGAAGAAATTTTTATTATATTAACTTCGTGATTTTTCTTTGCGAAATATTATTACTCGGAATATTTTCTTAAAACTTGTTAATTTTCTTAAGAACTTTCAAATATTATTCAATGCACTGATCTGTATTATTATTATTATTATTATTATAATAATGGTATCAAGCTTGTAATTCAAAATTGAATAAAATAATTTTATAGCCTAAAATTAATTCATTCGACTATTTTTTTTACCTCAATAACTAAACTCCGATTTAGCTTAAAATTGGTATGTAATTAAGATACGTTATAATCTAAAAATTAATGGCACGAACGTATACTAAGATTTATAATTTTCTATCATGGTCGAAACGAATCATTTCATTTTTGGTTTGGGGAGTACAATAAACTGAGCAATTAAAATTTATACAAAACATGTTTATAATTATAGAGAATTCAAAATTTCATTAATTTCATTAAATACAGTCCATCGTTCTACGTACATAATAATCTAGTTCTAGAGAATAAATCTGTTGTGAATAATTTTCTATTGAAAAAAAAAACTTTAATAATAATCTCGATTTTTACTATAAAACATTAATTCCACACAATATATAAATGAATAATTCATATTTGCGTGTATACGAGCCCAAAAAATCCTGATAATATTCATCAGTGTTCGTTCGGCGTCTTTTCGTCGAGCGATGTCTATTTTTAGAATTCTTATAAAATACACATAAAGAATTACACACATGGTGCTCAAAAATAAAGAAACACAAACAAGGGGGGAAGGGTTTTTAAATATTTATATGTATATATAAAACCAATCAATCTAATAAATATATATACCCAACACAAAACAACAAAAACAACGTAAAAAAGCAAACACCTCATAAAAAGGGGTATAACAACATTGTAGATCATCAAAAAGACATGCTTGCCTCATAATCATGCTACATTTAGTGTCTGCAAACCGATTATCATCAGTCCATTAATTACACACACTACGATGCAATAGATTGAAAAGCGGGTGGATGCACATCAAATAGGTCGGATTTTCGATGTTCAGAGTAGTCTGACGTTGTTTCCGTATCATCTACCACCCCAAATGGAATAGCCGATGCGTTAAGGCGAGAAGGGCGAAAAGTAAAATTCTGTGTTGGATCTGGACCTCTAGGTTGCCGAATAGGAAAAACAATAGGAATACCATCGGGACTATAATTTATATAGTTTATGTAGTTATAAAATTATTACATTATACATGTATATTGCTCTCTTAACAACTATAATAATTAAATAGTTAACATACACCCAAGATCTTCGGAAAGGCGATCGTGAAAGTGGTGAAACGTCACCTCTACTAGATCTATTAGATGGACTTTCGGACAATCCAGCGCTTGCCAGCAATTGTGTTGCAGCACGTCTGCCATATGAACCGTTTCGCGAAGGTGTTTGCTAAATTTCGAATATTAATAGAGAATACTAGATGATCTATCAGAGAAGGTAATGTGTGTATACATACCTTGATATTGATGGCAGCTGAGGCTGGTTTGCGCACAATCTTTAGAACTCTCTCATCACCTTCACCTTCACTGTAATGGTACAGTCCAAGCTTTTGGGCAATAAGATGTACTGTATGACGATGAGCACTTGTAAGCGTTTTTGAAAATACCAATTCCTCGCGGGTTTTGTCATCACGGAAGATTATAACTTGGTCATAAAATTTTAGAGTTTCTGGATCATTCAGATCAAGCTGTGGCTCTGATTTTGTAAAGATCAATATTAAGTATGGTATTGAAATGAGGATATATTCAAAATACTTTATATATATGGTAAATATATACCAAGACTTTTCTTATCGGGCTCCGCCAGTTTCTTTTCGGATTGAGGAGTTCCATTTTCAATTCTAATATCTGCTTTTGATTTTTCAATCTTGATATTATCGCTTTTTTGTATTTCTCGTGTAGTAGTAATGGCAGTACTGGTATTATCTGAATCACCTTTTATATTAACGCCACCATTATCAGCCTTTTGTTTTTCAGCCTTTTCTCTTTCTTTTGCCTCCCTTTCTGCTGCAGGTAGAACACGTTTATATTCAACTCTGAGTTTCCTACCAGAGACCTCATATCCATTTAATGCAGATACTACGAGATCAGTTTCTTCTGGTGTACGATAGTTGGCAAATGCCAGCCCTCTAAAAACACCGTTATCGAAGTGATAGTTGAAAGCGTAAGGTTTTGGAATATCGAGAGTGTTCTATCATTTAATAGTTGTTAAAAAAATTATAGCGATCAAAACTACATGCAGTGACTTGATATAAATCGACGCTTTGATGAAAAGACAAAAAAGTAAGAATAATAATTGCTTACAAGGATGGCTAGAAGCGCGTCTCTTTTTATGGAAAATGGAATATTTTTGATGACGATGGCAGTTGGTATTGTTTCTTGAGTACCTGTACTCGCCTCGCTATCACTTTGCCCTTGAGAGTTTTTCTCATACCATAACTACTCTCCAACGAAAAGAGATCGATGTAACGTCAGTTCACGTGATAAGTAATACCATTAACGAATAACGAGACATTTCTTTCACTACAGTTGTGCAATCTATTTTCTAAGATATTAACTGGCAAACAAACCTTTGACCGTCGTTTTTCTTTTCTACGTTGGCTGTCGGTATTTCCTTGGCCTTTTTTAAGTTTAATAGAGTTAGACCTAGATGGAGTAGTGTCCGAGTCAACAGCGGAATGAACGGAATGATCCTCAAATTGATCTTCAAATGAAAGTTCGAAATCGTCAGCCATTACTGTGGCAATTATTTTTTCTTGGAGATGAAGTGAGAGTGTATGCCACCTTTAGCAAGCGAAAAAAAACAATGCGTAGGGAATGTAATCAGATGATAGGTCGTATAGTGAAATATAAGGAGAAAGTATTGTGACCTGTTGTGAAACAGAAACAAGAATAATGAATAATGATGAGAAACAATTATTTTCGTTATTATATATATATTAACGTTAATGACACAAACCCTTTTACGATATACATGTAATCGGAGAAAGGACATTTAAGTTCATTACCGTCACACAAATGATAGAAACAGAATTCATTTATGATCTATCAAATCATTTAAACTGCGTTTCTTTATTTCTTGCAAATTTTTTTCATTGGTCTTTGATTTTTATAGAGTCACCAATAAAAAACAAGCTAGCATCAGAGAATCATGCAAAATAAATGTATATAATATATATAATAGAGTTATGCGTCATTTCATAATGGAAAAGTCCGAAATGACGCATATATAATTCTCTGAAATATGCAATTATAATTATATTGTACACCTTAAAAGATTCACAAGAGCAGCTGCGAATATGCAAATAAATAATAATAATCATAATAGAAATTAAAGTATAATTCTTCATTTTACATTGGGGATGGTTGTGGCGACGATTTTACCGATGAAGCAGCGAACGCGTGAGTTAATAATACATTTGCTGTGGGACGATGCTCGTGATCAGGTTCAAATGTTTTCGCTAGGAATTCCTTTGCGTCAGGTGATATATTGTCAGGTATTTCAGGAGAACAAGAGGAACCAATCTAAATCAAAGAAAAATATGAAATTTGTTAATAGATAGATAAAATGTAAATATTATTATAAGGTGCATATCTATCAAATTTTTACCTTAAACATTGCTTGCATTTGATTAAACCCGGGGAAAGGATGATCGCCAGTAAACATTTCAACTATCAAACATCCTAAACTCCAAATATCCGCTTTCGTAGAATAATGCACTTGTTTTACCACTTCGGGTGCCATCCAGAAAACGGATCCTTGTAATGAAGGACGATGAGCTGACGTTGCAGCCATAAATTCTATAATTAAAAAAATTAAGGATTAATATGCCTAGTTATTCTAATAAAGCCCCCCAACCATGATTAGATGCATACCATCTTCTACTTTTTTTGATATGCCAAAATCTGAAATCTTGATTCCGCCTTTAATATCAACTGTAAGGAAATTAATCAAAAAAAAAATAGTTTAGATATACGCGTATGGTTATATTGCGAGATTAAATACAAAGACGGCATTACCCAGTATATTTGCGCCTTTAATATCACGATGAATTATTTCTTGTTCATGTAAATAGTTCAATCCTTGCAAGATCTGTCTCACAAAAGATCGAACAAGAGTTTCCTCTAATGGTCCATAATTATTGAGCATTGTAGCTACTGAGCCACCTGGGACATACTCCAAGAAAATGTGTAGATTTTTTTCATCGTGTTGCGACCCTAGTAACAGTTAAATAAATCATGAAATTAAGTGTACAATATATACCAGATAGCTATAAATATTACAATTCATACACACCAAGATATTGGACTATATTCTCATGATGTAAATCTTTCAATAAAGCAATTTCCCGTTGTAAAGCATCCAACTAACGGTACGATAATGATTGTAATTACTTAAATATCAAATATTAAAGCAAGTTATTAGGGAAATTCAAAATACCATGGATTTTTTCCGGTCTTCATTTGCCGATTGACCAGTTGGAAGTTCAACACATTTTACTGCCATTAATTCTCCTGTAACCGCGTTGAGACCGAGATAAACGCTACCAAACGAACCAGACCCAATCAATGCGCCTTTTATCCATTTCAGCACTGAATTTTCCGAGTCTTTATTTACAATTATAAAAAATATTGATATAGTATTCTAATAAAAGAGTATATTAATATTTAAAATAATTTATTACCAGTGTCATCATCAAATTCGTCCTCGCTATCTTGATCTGGACTCCAATCTTCAGGCATTTCATCATCTTCATCTTCTTCAGCTACTTCAGATGCTTCATCAGGTTCTTCTGTTATCGTTATTTCAGATAACTCTTTTGGTGATGGTACTGGTAAAGTTGCATCGTCAACAAAGAATCTCGAGATTCGCTTCGATTTTGGTCGTGATATTCTTGATGCACGTCTTATTGAATTCCTAGCACTGCGCTCCAACTCTTCACTATTATGCCCAGGAAAGTATTCCGTAAGATTTAACGAAATTAATTCGGATGGAGGACGTTGTCCGAAAAAGTTTTGTAATTTTGAATGTGATGGTCCTGCAGAAATCTTTTCGTATCTTTCTCCAAAGAACTTTTCCAATTTTCTCTGTCTTGACATATCTTTACGTAGTATAAGATGGTCCCGTTCAGGTCTATCTGGATTTTTACATATTCTCACTAGTTCGTCATCCGTTAGACTACGATCTAATCAAACAAGATTAATAAAGTCAAAAATATTACTCTCATTATATGTTATAAATATTAAGATCAGGATGATAGAATTATAATTACAGGAATCGTCATTCAACTTGGTGCATAATGAATATTTGTCAGCCTCATCATCGCTAATATTAAATTTGTATAGAACTTTGGCTAATATAGATTTTGCATCGTTAGCTTCTCGAATATCGATTGATCGAGATTCATGTTCTTCACCATCATAAACATCATAAACCTTGATTATATGCTATAGAGTAATAGACGAATAAGCAAATAAAAAGCTGTAATATTTTCTAATTAAAAATAAATGTACCTGTTTGATGGATACATATGCGGCCATATTTGGTGTGTCGACTGAAGGATTCTATTAAATGTTTAAGTTTGAAAATAAATCTTCATATATCACTCGCTAATTAACATATACAAAGAAAAAATAAAGTGCACGCAAATACAGAACAAAAAATCTACACGACGTTTATATGAATCTTTAGCTTACCTTGACATGTTGTAACCTAGGAGATTGGTCTCTAGGTGAATTGATTTCTCTTGGAGAATTTTCACTTCTCCCATTTCTGCCTGAATTAGTACGCGTTAAATTTCGAGGCAAGGAACTCGATCGAGTAAGTTGCACAGGGAATCGGTCAAAAATAGGGGAAATATTTTCCTAAAGGAATTTTTAGTATATTGGTTAATTAAACATAATATATATTACACAATCTAAATATTAGCAATTCATCCCTAAATCTTTTTTCATCTAATCTTTACACATCTATTAACCCTTTATCAAAAATGCTCACTCACTTCTTACAATAGTCTAGGTTGGGCTGTTTTAACAATATGCAGGAAAGTAAATGATATACACCTTTGGATATCTTCCGATATTATTAATGCAACTTTTTAATAAAGCCTTAACAGCGACCAAAATGCGAACGCGATCACCAATTTTTACTATATTTAGTTCCTTCAAAATCTGATGATCCAACTCTAACAAAACATCTCCAGTAATATCATTCTCTAATGAATTGATTAAAAGGTTAAATAAAAGGTAGATAAGCATTTTCCCGTCATAGTAAGACTAAATCACTAACCACAGAATAATTGTTCGTATTCCTTAAAGTTATTTTCTTTCAACCAGGAATTTACTTGATCTACCTTCCAGATCCTCACGCTTTCAAAAGAATAGCGACTATCAAAAATAGGTGATCCCATCGGGGTCAAAGAAATTTGTGTCATTTTTAAAGCTGCCGATATTAAACAGTATGGAGTACCTGCTACGATACTAGATAAAGATATCGAGAGTCAAAGTCCTTTACTACGACCAGATTTGTTTATAGGACATTTTACATATGTAGGTCCCCTGCGTATAATGCAACCAATAATTTTTTACTAATCAAAAATGTCGGTGAGACAATTTTACGTATAAAGTGAAACAGAAAAAATTGACAGATCATTTGACTTCCGATCACAATCTGTCTTTCCGAGATTCCGGAGTCTGCCAATATAGATATCTTTTTTGTATAATATATGCTATATAATTATTCTAAATGTAAATACCGACACTTAACATTGCATAATATGTTCCTGAGTTCTTGTATTAAGAACTTTATAATATTCTTGAATTTCTTGTACAAATAACTTGATTACTCTTTCAAATTCTTGTATGAAGCTATTATTATTTATATTTTCTTTCAACAAAGTTATTTCTAACTCAAATATTCATCTAATTCTATTTATAACATCTCTATTTTGTTCAAAGTCTTCATATTAATTAATAATAATATGAGAATTACTTATAGATATGATAAATATATTGATATTTTATATAAATTTACTTTAGAAATTATTCTTTATGCTAATTTATTAAAGAAATAAATTAATAATTATATTAATATTTTTATAAAGACAAAACAAGGATATCAAACTTATTTTTATTATAACAAGATGCTTATAAATTAGAAAGTAATTATGTAGAAATATAAAATATAAATATATTTAAATTTCTAGATATGTATTATATTTTTTTTCTTATTAAATAATTATTAAATATAGTAAAAATAACATAATTATATTATTTTCACTTAGTCTAGATTATGTATGTGTTGTAATCCAATTTTTATGACACAAACTAAGGTATTGTGATCTAATTTTTATGATACAGACTAAGATATCATGATTTAATTTTTATGACATGGATTAAGATATTATAATTTAAATTTTATGACACAGACTAAGATATTATGATATATATTTTATAATATATAAATAGATAGCTTGTATACTTTTTAGATAATATACTTGAATAATATGTATTTTGCTTTTTATGATATATATCAAGATGATGTATTTTATATATCAAGTTATATATAATATAATATATATCACTTTAGTAATTATAATCAATTTTTATCATAGACAAAATAATATATTTAATAATATATTTAGTTATATATTATTATTTACAAATCTAATATGAGAATTATATTTAAATTAAGTATATAATATCAAAATAGTATCTATAATCTTTATATAATATATTCAAATATCAATTAAAGATGAGATATATAATACTAAATTATTAATAATTGTTAGCTTTATATAATTTATTTAAATATTACTAGAAAATAAGATATATAATACTAAATAAAAGTAAAAATTTATCTTATTTCTTTTCTTATAATATTTTACTTTTATATATTACTTTTTTTAATATCTGAATTCTACTATCTGATTCTTTTTTTTTAGTAATATATAAAAGTATAATTTTTTTTATCTCTTTTTTTATAATATTCTATCTTTATATATTATCAAAAGTTTATTATATTTTTTAGCTTTAAAAATCTTTTTTATATAGTTAATATTTTCAAGTATTTTAGCTTTATATTAAAAAATTAAATTATATTACTATATATTATATATTATATATTATAATCAATTACCTATTTGTATGATGTAGTAGATGTAATGCAATTGCAACATGTGATATAGTAATCATTAATTATTATTAAATTAAATAAATAAATAATTTATATTAATTAATCTTATTTATAATTAATTCTATTTTTAGTTTATATTATTACTCATATTTAGTCTTATTCT